AAAAAAAAAAAAAAAAAAAAAAAAAAAAAAAAAAAAAAAAAAAAAAAAAAAAAAAAAAAAAAAAAAAAAAAAAATAGTAATAATAAAATACAAACCGTAGGAGGAGACGGATGAGGCGGAAAAACAGGGTACGGTTTGTCGGGTGGTGTAAGCACAGGTTTGAGATCTATTTGATCTATTTCGAAAGTGGGTATATCCGTAAGTATCTGGAAAAAAAAAAAAATAAAGAAAATTTAGAAGATCAAATGAATATAAAGATCAAGAAGAGAAATAATAAATATTTAATCATACATACCGGGTTAGGATATGATATCATCTCAACGAGTGGTTGCCCAACTTGATCAAACTGTTGTGGAAAGAGGCATTGTTCATTCTACGAAAATGAAAAGAAGTCAATAAAAAAAAAATAAAAATAAAAAAAAAAATAAAAAAAAATAAATAAACTTGATATTTACCATGATAACATGATTATCATAGACAGGAGGGCACAACATTCTATTATTGTTCGCTTGACCAACGTTAACAGCATTTACATCATATAAATCAATATTGGTATTATCGATTTGAGATTGAACGAAGTGTGGTTGTAAAGGATAAAGAACTTGATTTTCCATTATATAAGTATACGAAAAGATTTAATAGATCTTTTTTTTTTTTTTATTTTTTTTTTTTTCTTGGATTTTTTTTTTTTTAATCTTACCTTTATTTCTTTTTTTTATTTTTTTTAGCAATACTTAATCGATGACCGAATGTATGGATGTGTTGATAGATCTATGGTATCAAATCATTCACACGTTGTTATGAACCCTACAGAAGAAGTGAAACAAGTTCCTTCACCTCCGACCTCGCCTCAACCCGTTCCGCAACCCCCCGCTGAGACGTCAAAAAAACTGGTACACAAGGAAGAGTGTAAACCTGAAAAAACTGAACCAATCGGAAAAAACGAAAAATTTGTCTCAACCGAAAAAGTCGATGAAGGATTACCTATTACGATCAATCCGAAACAGAAAAATCGAATCCTTAAACGAAGAATCGCCCGTGCGATATTCGAGAAACGTTACAACCTTCCTAAACAAAGAAAGGTAATGATACAAAAATCTTTTTTTTTTTTACTTTGCATTATCTTACATATTTTATTTATTTATTTATTTATTTATTTTTTTTATTTATTTTTATTTTTTTAAATTTTTTTTTTTTTAGCCTTACATTCACGAATCTCGTCACGTGCATGCTATGCGCAGACCACGTGGTCCAGGAGGCCGTTTCTTGAACACCAACGATACTACAAACGCAAAACGCCAAAACTTTGACAATTTCAATCATTTTCCACGTGATCTTTCCGAATACTTTCACCAAAATACTCATTTTCTTATTCCGATTGGATCGAATCCCGTATCAGACGTGAATTCTTGGGGCGTAACCACTGAATTAACAAACCTTGATAGTTCCGATACGTGCCGTATGAATGTATATTTTGACGGAAACAACGTCAACGCCCCAGCTTCAGGTGTCATTAGCCCCTTTGTCACCGCTTCACCAACATCTGCAACATCTCCAATTCAGGTCCAAAACGTCCAAAACGTTTATGAGGCAAATCACATTAACAACGAATATAATTTACCTCAACCGCATATGTTGCAATTAAGTTATCAGCCATCGTTCGCTACCAATAACATTGGTTGGAATTTCCACAACTAAAATCGTCGAATCAAAATTTCTTTTTTTTTTTTTTCTTATGTAAATACTAGCAAATCTGATTTTCGAACAACCATTCATACATAACAAATCATCATTTCGTTTTTTTTTTTTCATAGACAAAAACCAAAAAAAAATTGGCATTGTAAGTAAACTTGGCAAATCAAACAATCGGAGTTTTTTTTTTAAATGTAAATTTTTTTTCCTTAAAGAAAAATCATTATAGATTCTAAAAATTTTATAGACTTTTATTCATATACACACAACATACAACATTAAGCTTTAACTATGATAGAATTTTTTTATTTTAAATCCAATCATGTAAATTTTTCCAAAAAAAAAAAATCAAAATCTCTCATCATTTGGTTCCGCGTGTGACGTTTTTTTCTTCTACCTTAATTGTGACCCTTTATCTACCTTTTTTTTTTTCTTCATTTTTTTTTTATCTTTCGGGTTGGTGTTTTTTTTTCGTTTTTGGGTGCACGCCTGAAATTGGAAATCTTCATTAATTTTTTTCGATTCCCCCTTTGTACATTTAATTTTTTTCATCTATGCATTTCGAAGTTATTATGAAACATGCATCTGTGCTACGTATGCCTTTTTTTTTTTTTAAAAAAAAAAAAAAGTAATATCGATAAAAAAAAAAAAAGTATTAATAAAAGAATAATAATAATAATAAGTAATAATAATAAAAATAATACGTACGTACGTATAGCCATATGAAGTTAATTATTTGATTGTCATAACATAACAGATCCGGCCGACCGACAAGTGAGTCATGGTCTAGGAAAATCACTTAAAATATGAGATTTTCCCAAACCATTACCCCTATAGTTATAATTGACCAAAAAATATTCGGGTCAAAATTTTATTTAGTAAAGTAAAACTTCCGTCAAGTTTTGGCTTCAAAATCGGACGGTTGCTTTTTTTATTCGGGGGTTGCTTCTAATAGATAACAAAAATCTTGGAACAACTGGAAAAATTGTCGATGACCGAATCAATAAATTGCCGAGTCAGGATCAATGAGTTACCGACATCAGAAACTCATCGATTTTTATAACTGTACGTAAAGATCCACCGAAATATTAAAACGTTTAAGTTTGCCCCTGAGCGATCTCTAATACGTATATCGTATATGAATTTTTATAGATTTATAAAAAAAATCTTAAGGTAATTTTAGGATTAGGTCTTGGGAATTTTTTTTAGGGTGTTAACCATTTTTCATTTAATACATCAGACACCAATTACCTACGTAGGTCGTCTACCCCGGGAACAAGTTAGCAAAAATCACAATTAATAAATTTTATACGTATACGTAGTCTAATAATATATCCTAATATATAATATATAAATTATATAAATAGATATATATGTGTAAATATTTTGTCGGCTTTTGCCACTGTGTAGTTGATTTTTAAACTTTACCGACTATTCTGAGTAATCCGGTTTATAAGAAATTACTTAATCTGAAAATGTAATGGTGAAACGGTTACAATAAAAATCTCGTTTTTTTTAGACATCGGTATATATACTTAAAATACCACATTAATAATTCAATTATTGTGTATGTACATTAAATATCAAATTTAATGGTGTAAATGTGTATAATGTATATATGTATATGTATATATTGTATAATAGTAATGATAAATTTTTTTCGCTTTAAATTATAATAAACTACATATCAATAAACACTTAAGGGCAGTTATATACATTAACAAATCTCATTTTAGTAATTGTTCTTCTATAACACTATATTATGCTATCCCCACCCCTAAAATGTGTCATTGCACTAAGATCCACAATAAATTGTTCAATAAAAATAAATGATTACAATTTAAATCTATATATATATATATATTCTATTAAATAAGCAATAATGTTCATCCAATGTATATAATAATGTATATTCAGTTGGAATTTACTTTCTAACTTTGTTTCGCATCACTGGTATCATTCCACCCTTCGTTGGTTTAGTATATTTTCCGTTAACAGCAGGAATATTCGATGTGTTATCGTTAATGCTTGATTGTGTATTACTTGTTGATTCTTCAACATTTATTTTAGTTTTAGCGTCCAGTTTTTCTTCAACCATTTTTACCAACAAATCAGAATATTTTTCTAAAAGATTTTGCGTGTATCCTTCGGGCAATTGCTTTAATTGTTGCGTTAATGGTTTTGATGGTCGAAGAGACGGTGGTGGTGGTGGTGGTGTTAAGGACGATGACATCCCGGATGTGATATCCGTTGATGTCATACTTTCGTGGTCACCACTAACTGTACCATACAAGATCATAGGCTCTAAATCACCCTCATCATGATATGTATCATGTCCAGGTTCAATAATTTCAGGCACGTTGATTTGGCTCTTTGTAGACTCATATACTTGATCATTTGTTTGTTCTTCACTTTCTTTAAGACTCTTATTTATATCATCCATCATCCCACTTAAACTATCAGAAATTAATTTTGCTATACTTTCATTCTTTGAGGCGGGCGAAGATACTTTTTTGTATGCTAAAAGAGTTCGTTCTAAAAGCACCGTCATGGTTACTACATCGTCCATAACACATTCTTCATTGACTTGTTCTTCTTCTATGCTTTGTTGACTGGTCACTATATATAATAAATTCATCAAAATATTAAAAAACTTTTGAAATAAAAAATATATAATATATATTTTTTTTAACAAGTTACCATTAGCATCGGGCTCATTAAAGTTTCTGTTATCTTGGTATCCATTAGATATCGAAATACCAAGATCATCAACTTTTAAGTCATTATCATTGACATATTGTCCATTGTCAGAATCATGTTTTAGGTTCATATCACTAACAGTTTCTTTAGTTGACGTGGCTGGAGATGACGGTGTTGAATAAATCATTGACGGTAGTGGTGATTTCTTATAAGAGTCTTGTCCAATAGTAGTAGAATCTTGTTCAATAGTAGTAGAGTCTTCCCCAATAGTAGTAGAGTCTTCCTTAACGAGGGATTCATTTTCATGATTCTCATGATTCTCTATTTCTAAAGACTTCCTTTCCAAAGCTTCTAAAGCCTCCGAAACACCACCTTCATCCTCACTTATGGCTAAATCTTGTTTACCTATAATTTTAGTCAATGCATCTATCAAACTATTACGACCACTTGAATCATTAGATTGTCGTTGACTCCCTGTATAAAATTTCATGGTCAAACTTTGCCTCTTTTTTGCTTTACTATCCAAAGTCGAATTATCTGCACTAGTCTTCTGGATTTCAATATGTAAGAAATCCTCCAATTTTTGAACATTTTCTTCGGCACTTTCCATCTCATCATCTTCATTATCATTTTCCAAGACATTAGAATCAATATCATTATCTTTTTCACTTCCAGATGATGACTTTGGTCGATCACCATTAAATTCCACAACTTTAATACTTCCCACAAAGCTACTTCGGCGTCCCTTAGATGATGCACTTTCATTATCATCCATCCCATCTTCGTCTTGAGATTCAACATATATAGTCTCATTATCTTCATTACAAGAATCATCTGCAATGATTTCTTCTTCTGCAGGAGAAAATATGTCATCATCATCATCATCATCATCATCAGGGGTTGACGTAGAGAGAATCGATGATTGGGGTAATGATAATTTCTCATTAAATGAAGCAGGATTATTTGCAGGTTTTAATTCATCTTTTTCTGATTCCGTATTTAATAATGATTTGGTTGCATCTTGACGTAATTTACTTTGTGATTTTGCTCTATTCAAAGGCTTTGGAATTGAAGGTAACTTTTTTTCTACATTAAGTTGATGATTAATTTCCTGTGTTGGACTACTGACGAGAACATTGGAAACTAAATTAGTGTTATTATTTGAAGTTTTATCCTTAGGACGTTTTTCTTCTTCTTTTTCTTTAAAAGCCTTTTTTGCCCAACTAGGTAGACCGATTTTCCAGGATTCTCTCCTTGCAGAGCTTGGATTAGTTGGAGTGTTGGGTGGTGTAGATATTCCTGTCGGATTAGAAGGTGGTGTAGATATTCCTGTCTGATTAGAAGGTGGTGGTGAAGTAGCCATAGGCAGTTTACTATGGTCTAATGAAAACCTAGGCGTTAATTGAGTAGATTTTTGTTGTGATGAACTATCATTTGCAAAAGATGCAGGCCTTTTAGCAGCAAATTTTTTTGTATTCTCTTCATTTTGAAGTTCCATAGCAGATAAAGATGAATAAGATTTTTTGATTTTTAAACCATTTGTTACTCGACGAACAGAGAAACCTGATTCTTGACCATCATCATTTGATGATTGTTGAAGATCTACCATAAGTGATTGTGGTTTTTGTGCAGGCATGATAGATTTAGGTATAGTTGGTGGTGGAGTTGATGATTGTGGAAGAAGATAGTCCCTCATCAAAGGTGATGTCTTTTCAAGTGAACCACTAACGCCACTTCTATCAAGCCATTTTTGTCGCATTTTTGAAACCAATTCATCAGATATTTTCCAAACAAATATACAACCATCAGCAGAAGTCGAAATAACACGTTCACAATCAGAAGTAAATTTTACACCGGTAATTAATTCAGAATGTCCAAGAACTTTGCCCAATATCGATCCATTAGTGAAATCGAAAAGTCGAATACTTTTATCCGAACCGCCGGTTACAGCATGTACTCCACCAGGGTCCAAAGAAATTCTAAGTAAACTTCCTTGATCAGCAGTATTGACTTCCTCAGGTGTATCTGATTTGTATGAACGCACATTTTTACCAGTATCAATATGATAAACATTTAATCGACGCTCTCCTGATACCGTAGCGATGTATCGATTTGATATATCAATGTCCATATCAAATACAGTTGCTCTTCCCGAAATATTATGATATGTCACATAACACGGGGAATCACCAGACTAATAATAAAAAAGTATGATGAAAGATTTAATTAGGTTGATATCAACGAGAAGACAGTAAAAAAAAGATACAGTCAGACCTCCCTAAATGCAATATGACGGGACCATATATGAAAATTTAGTCGAACGTGCACTTAGATAAGTATTGCATTTAGGGAGGTAAAAATCTATAGATGTAATATGAGTTGGAGACGTGTATTTAAGGAGGTGTGTGCACTCAGGGGGGTAGCATTTAAGGGGGTCTGACTGTATATGTGGTTTTAACCTACATTTTGTCGACTTCTAAATATGATACTCTTATCTGCACCACAACTGATCAACTTTCCACCATCATTTGTGAACTTTATGGCAGTTATAGACGAAGAATGATCATCCAAAGTTTGAACCAATTGAAAATTATTGTTAACATCAAAGACATGCAAGATTCTGTCACGACTTGCAGTAGCAATTAAATATGGAGCACCTAAAAAAAATAATACATAAAAATGTATAAAAAGCTAACAACAACGTTGCCAAAATTATAAATGCATAGGATCGATAAAAGCTAACAAGATGCCACTTAAAACTAAATTGCATCCTACTCACCAGGTGCACGTGAATCGGTAAATTCAATTGTCAGTATCTCAGCATCATGAGCTTCCTGATAAGTAATTTCTTTAAAAGTATCAAGATCATGTACTCTAAATAAATACATTGTATAAAAAGCATTTAGTATATATTTTAACAGTAAAAGCAGTTACGTACAGTTTATGCATATGTTTATACATATAAAATACCTTAAATTTCCACTACGGTCACCAGATGCCATCAATTTTCCATCGGGACTAATTTTTAAAGTACGGATACCGGATTCTACGGAAGTAGCATTAAGTTGATCCGAAGAATCTGTTGCATAAAAGATTTAATTAACAAGAATAATTAATTAACATTTAATTAACAAGAATAATTAATTAACATTTAATTAACAAGAATAATTAATTAACATTTAATTAACAAGAATAATTAATTAACATTTAATTATCAAGAATAATTAATTAACATTTAATTATCAAGAATAATTAATTAACATTTAATTATCAAGAATAATTAAATATTATTATAATTCTTAAAGTACCAACCAGATTTTTCATTTTTTGTCTCCAAAGCACATGAACGGTATTTGCCGTCCGGATCCGCATAAACAATCTTCAAACACTCTTTGCTATAAATGTTTCTTTTTATAGATGAGTTGTTGTTATTTCCGCCGGAAGAACCGTTTGAAGCGGTCGAGTTAACAGAACCGTCAAAATTCCAAAATCTGATAGTACTATCAGCGGAATAAGTGACGAAAGTATTTTCTGGTAACATAGACGTACCATCAGCAGCATCGTGTGGTACCATCTAAAATGATAGATCATGATAATATCATGATAATAATATGATAATAATGAGAATATATATGAGAATATATATGAGAATATATATATAAGAATATAATGAGAATATATATAATAATGTATATAAGAATATATAATGAGAATATATAATGAGAATATACAAGTATTATTATAATTTACCTCTACACCCCAAATAGTATCACAATGGTATAGGAAACTTCTATATTTTCCAATTTTTTTTATATCTTTAATGTCCCATATAAAAAGACTACGATCACTATATATACAAGTAAGTTTTCCGGTTTCAGCATCAAATTTTATAGCAGTTGTATCTGGATATGTTTCATTAGGATCACCAGCACCGTTATAAGTTGATCCAGTCTGTAAAGTCAAATCCACACCCAGAGGATGCGGTTTTGGTAAAGTACCCAGATAATTTAGAGTTATTGGCTCAAATAGTCTAAAAAAAATGAGGGACAATTAACATTACGTACTAGAAAGCATATAAATTAACTTGTAATCAAATGGTTTCAAATGGTTTCAAATGGTTTACCTAATAATTCCATTTGAGCAAGCACATATGATATATTGCTGGCTCACATCAATAGAATAGGCGCTTTTGACCTTTATACAACATAATATACAATTATAAGTATATACAACATAATATACAATTATAAGTATATACAACATAATATACAATTATAAGTATAAATACTAGTAAAATATAAATAAAGAAAATACGGCATACCTGCAAATTAACCCATTTATCCATTAATCTACCTTCCGTAAACATACATAACAATCCATTTGAAGTTACAAAATAAGTATGATCTGATTTCTGGCAACATGCGGCGTCGAGAAAATTATTATCTCTTAAGTCGCCCAGAATACCAGATCGCCCATCAAGTACTTGCGCAGTTTTTTGTATTGATTGACCCTGAGATGAAATTATTAAATTATTAATAAAATTTTAAGATAAAAAATATATTAAACAAACAAGTTTTAAATCAAGATAGTTACCGCATTTTTTTTTGGTAAATTTCCATTAGCATCAAAATACCAGAATTTTACATGCCTCAAGCCAGCAGTTACGAAAAATGAACCAGTCCTGTTAAACGCTAAAGTGTGGACCTTGGTAGTGATTTTGTTACACGCGACTTTTGCACCAGTTTTTAAATTCCAAACATTTAGATAACCATCATGCTAATAAAGTAAATGTATAATAAAATTAAAAAATAAAATAAAATAAAATAGAATCTCGTGTAATAAAAAGTAACTTACTTGAAAACCCAAAGATACAACCCATTTCATATTTGGGGAAAATACTATTGCTAATACGCCATATTTATGACCTTTAAGTTCATTAATTAGAGTCTTTGATACTACATCCCATATTAATATACGAGGCTGATGACCAGTCTGAATAATAATAATAATAATAATAATAATAATAATAATAATAATAATAATAATGATAATGATAATAATAATAAAATTAATTTAAATTATCAAGATAATAAAATAAATAAATAATATATAATTTATGAAACTCGAATTTATTAAATGTTTACCTCACCGACAGCTAAGAAATTACCATCAGGAGAAAAAGCAAGACATGATATAGGCTTTGCCTTATTGCTCACAGCAGGTTTCTTAGAAGAATTTCCATTAGCATTGGTACCTGGAGGTTCCAGTAACCCCAGGGAACTCAAAGGATTGGTTGATATAGAATCACCAACGATAGTATGTCGATTAGGAGGGGGTTGAGGCGGAGCAGAAGACACCGCCGAAGACGCGTGTAAAAAGCCAACTTGTTTATTTTTCTTGTGATTATATAATACAACGACAGAGCCGGCAGCATAAGCTACAAGATCATGAGTAGGAGCGGTTGATATTGCAGTTGGTTTTGAAGTTGTTAACCCAAGAATTCGCTCAAGTTCAATCTAAGTTAAATATAAAAAAAGAAAAAAAAATTTAACAGTCAATAATCTCATCATCAAATTTTGTATTATGTATGCACAACCAGTGGCTAGTAATTATTTTACACCTATAAATTTCTGGAATCGTTCTCTCTCTCTCATATCTCTCATGGCTGTTTTAACAATTGAATTTAATAATAATTGATAATATTGACAATAGGAATAATAATTATTTAAGAGTATATACAAATGTATATACGCATTTATGCAAGACCAGAGCATGAGCAGAAGGAATTGTATTTAACGAATTATTGAATTATTGAATTATTGAATTATTGAATTATTGAATTATTGAATTATTGAATTATTGATTATTGAATTATTGATTATTGAATTATTGAATTATTGATTATTGAATTATTGAATTATTGAATTATTTAAATAAAGAGAATTGATGAAATTTAGGTAATACTAACGGCAGGAGTTATATTTTCGCCTTTCTTTTTTCGGCGGAGCCCACCGTTTTTTGAAGGATAAATAGCAACGGTAGCAGGTCTTGAAGATCTTGGAGCAAACATTATTTACAAGTTTTCTTATTATGTCGTTTCAGAGTTTAATTATTATTTAAAGACAATGATAATTTTATTTATATGTAATATATCAATTCTTGAATATCAATTCTCGAATATCAATTCTTGAATATCAATTCTTGACATTTGATATATTCTCTCCTGTAATTTGTGATAGTCGTATGACGGCTTTGTTTCTATCGTGAATTTTACCGAGGTTATCACTTTGATACTACAGATTTTCAGAATTCAGAAATCAGAATTCATGAATGCAAAAAAAAATTCATAATTGTTACTTAACGGAATATTAACAAAATATTAAAATGTTAACAAAAGATTAAAAAGGACTTTATTTTTACTTATTTGTATACCTTAGTAATGAAATAAAGGAAAATACGCGACGCGCCAAAGATTTGAAAAAAAAGGATTGATCTTATTATGTGAAACAACAGTTGAAACAACAGTCGACTCGAATTGGGAATAACAAACAAAACTAACCTTAAACTGAACAAACAACAACCTCAAATAGCACGTTAAAAATAAAAAAAATCACAGAACCAAGTCCAACGCCGAATAGGTTGGAAATCAAGGAAACAACGGGGAAAAGAGTAAATATAGGAAAAAGAAAAAAATAAAAGAATGACGATGTTAAAAGCTGGCGTTCGACTTTATGTATTATTCTGTATTTGTACAGGATTAGAAACTCGTCAAGTCTTGAAATGGGAAGAATTTCATCAACAGTAACAGTAAAGGATTGTTATATAAAAGTGGCTGGAGATCTTTTCTGATCTCTTTTGGGTTTAAAAAAAATTGTAAATATGCACGAACGTACATCTGTAGACGTTGTGTTACTTAATTTTAGATGCCTTACAGTCTTACGAAATGAACAATAGCGATGGTCTCAATAAATACATAAAAACCACGCGTATAACACAATTCATATTACGAATAAATATTCATGTTTAGATATGTTTAGAGTGTGATGATAGAACGATGATAGAATGATGATGGAATGATGAGAATGACGCTTAGAATGCAAGATACGTGAAACCTTCAAGGGTTTTATCCTTGCTCCAATCTTTGCAAACTAACATATTAAAAATTTACATGTTTTGTACACAAATAATTTAAAAACATTGTTTTAAAATATTTGTTACTGTTCAAGTTACTATAAAAACCTTATTTATTGCATAAAATCCCTGTGTCGAAAATCAACTGATATTCTTCTGTCTGTCGTGACTTATTTAAATTTATGTAAATACCAGTTGTAGGCAAGGTCAAGTTGTACAATGAATTCTTGTTTTTGATCATTAAACCAATTGTCAATTAGTTTCAAATAAAATTATATAGCAAATAATTACCAATGATGTCTAATGATGTGAATTTCATAAATCTATTAATTAATTATTAAATTAAAAATACCAGCAATGAACTGATGAACTGAGATGAACAACGCAAATCGTCGCTCTTTTTTTATTTTCATGTGTCTGAGTTATCATCTCACATAAATATATTCATATATGGCCTATTAATACGTACATACTAGTTGATTAATTTTATTCTTGTAAATAGTTTCATAAGATTCATAGATAGGTTAGGTAGAAAGGCTTATAATGATAACAAAAATACCCTAAGAATACTTACTAATGAATACACACGTACTACGAACTAAGAAATACACACGTACTACGTACTAAGAAATACACACGTACTACGTACGTACTAAGAATACACACGTTCGTACGTACGTACTTTCTGCTATGTACTGTACGTATGTACGTACGTATGTACGTATCAATCGATAGAGTTTATCTTCCAAAATTCGATGTGTGGGTATTTTCACATGCGTTTCGTATGTTGCGTATTTTGCATACTATTTCGTTTCAAATATGGTGGACTTAAATTAGACATATTACTTACATATTCTTAAAAATCTGATACATAGGCGACGTTCTTGTATATCTTTCTTGGTTTGATTGGATAATCTTGAAATTTGTTTACTTAGATTACAAAATTAGGTGTAATTTAAACTTTTATCAAATAATTGATTAAATGATTTGTGTTATATAAATTGCTTTTATTATATAATAAAGTTTTATCTTTATAGTAATTTGAAAAAAACTTTATTTCTATTATATAATACTATATAAATATACTATATAAATATAGTATATATTATATATATATTATATATAGTATACTATAATATACAGTATAAAAATATAGCTTATTTAAAACCAATAATAGTATAATAATAATTATATATATTATATTATATTACTATATATTACTGTATTTAATTTAATATTGTATTATATTATATTTGATTACTTATATACTAATCTTTATTTTGTATTAACTTATAATTGTAAGCTATATACAAAATGCACTTTAAATTCTAATTGAATTTAAAATACTATAAATATATAACTAATATCTCAACTATATAGTACATCCTCTTAAATCTGATAGGCATGGTAGACAGCTTTTGTATCAGTTTTAAGAGGTTATCAGGTTTAAGATACTAATGGCTTACTGATTACATAATTATAAATAAATATAATTGGCTAGATTATACAGTATTTATTATATATCTACTTAGTCACACAAAGCTTAATTTGAGCCAATCAAATTGATTTATAATACCTGACAAACTTGATATCTTATAGGTATTTGATCTTTTGAGTATTAGTTATCAGAAATAGCAAGTTATCAGGTTTGAATTATAGAACAGACATAGTAGATTAACTTTTTATCAGATATAACAGTTTATCTGTTTTGACAGGATCAGTTTTGAAAGGATATACTGTATAGTTTATTAATCAAATTTTTTAAAAAAATAAAATATACAAGAATTTTGTTAACTATAACTAGCAGTGATTATCACCAATATATAATTAACCAATATCAATTTGTGTAATAAAAATAAATTTTTTCAAAAAATATTAATATTTTAAGAATACATCTTTGAAACTACCTTCAATATTTTAGCAAAAAAAAATTCTTACTAAACTTTGTATATATTTAACATCTTGTTAAAATCTCAGATCTTGCTCTAATCCTAAAATAGAGAAAATGAATTTTTATTTTATTTATCATTATTGGCTAATTATACATTGGTGACAATTACTATTAGTTTTAATTAGTTTAACTTAATATACAAAACTAGTATTATATTTAATCTTTATAGTAATTTATATAATCTACATTACTTTTTAATATTATATTCAAATTATATTAGCAAAAATTTTTTAAATTAAATTTATGTTTAATTAATAATTTACTAGTCATTTAATTAATAATTTTATATACAGTATATCAGCAAATTTAATAGGGCGAAATATTTCGAAATAATTTACGAAATGTAAAAAAACCGTAATATTACGTAATATATTTCGAAAATATGTGAAATATAAAAACTATGAAATATTTCGTAAGATATTTCGAAATATTACGTAAGATATTTTAAAAAATTTCGTAAGAAAATTTGAAATAATTCAAAATAATTTTGCAAAATAAATATTAGAGTTATGCGATGTAAACAAATTCGAATTAGTTTGAATATAATTAAATGAGTTTGAAATAATTTTATACATTAAATATAGCTAGGTATTCATATTAAGACAATCACTAATTTTATTTTTAAAATAA